GCCATACTGGGTCAGATCAAAGGTCCATCTAGCCCAGTGTCCTGTCTTCCAACAGTGGCCAGTGCCAGGTGCCCCAGAGGGAATGAACAGAACAGGGAATCACGGAGTGATCCACCCCCTGTCGCCCATTCCCACCTTCTGGCAAACAGAGGCTAGGGACACCATTCCTGCCCATCCTGGCTAATAGCCATTGATGGACCTATCCTCCATGAACTGATTTTTGCAAAAAGTATAAAATGCTAATGTTGTTTCCATTTCTGCCTTTGAAATGAATCAATTTTTCATGTGTGCAAATAATTTTAGATTTAAAAAAAATACTAAAAATGTTGTCAATTTTATTTTAGTGAACAAAAATGTAAATAACCAGTTTGATAAGGTTTTCAGTAGCAAAAATCTACAAAAAGCATGAAATTTTCCATGAAAGGTTTCAACAGATGGCACTTTCTTGATGGAAAAAAAAAGATTGGATTCTTTTTCCATCAAAAAGTTTTATTTGTGATGGTCTTGTTATCTTTATTTGGTGGAGTTTTTATCCTAACAAGCACGTATGATCAGGAATTGGTTTCAGGTTTTTTGTGAAAATCAACATATTCATCACATCCCTCTCTATCTACTTATCCCCATGCTCTGACCCAGAATACTCCTACTCCACTCTCCTACGAGAACCAGGGATAGATCCCAGAAATCCCAACTCCCAAGCAGCTATTCTGTCTATGTTGGCTATGGTTACATTGGATATGTTCTGTGTCTTTCTGAAGTGGATATATTTGGTGTCTCCCTCACACCCTCTGGGAAAATTTCACCTTATGCTGCCGGAAAGCATCCTGCAAAACCTCCTTCACCTTGTCATTCCTGAGGCTAAAAATGAAGGGGTTCAGCAAAGGTGTCACAATGCAACTCAAGGTCGCAGCCATTTTATTGAGAAGCAAAGACTTTCCCCACGATGGCCTGACATAGAGGAATATGGAGCTGCCGTACACCATCACCACCACAGTCAAGTGGGAAGAGCAGGTGGAGAAGGCTCTCCGCCTCTCTGAGGAGGATGGTATCCTCAGGATGGTGGAGATGATGTAGGTGTAAGAGACCGTGGTGAACGCCAAGGAGCTTAGCAGCACGAAGGAGGACAGCACAAAGTCCACCCGTTCGAGGAGTCGGGTGTCAAAGCAGGAAAGCTGCAGGAGGGGCCAGCTATCACAGAAGAAGTGGTCGATGGTGTTGGGCCCACAGAAGGTCAACCTGGTTAGCGTCACAGTCGGGAAGAGGACACACAGGAAGCCGCCTATCCATGAACCCAGGACAAGCTGGGTACAGACTTTGCTGCTCATGATGGCTTCATACCGCAGCGGGTTGCAGATGGCTTGGTAACGGTCGAAGGACATGACAGCCAGAAGGAAGAAATCGGTGGTTCCCAAAAGGAAGTAGATATAGGACTGGGTCATGCAACTAGCAAAGGAGATGTGGACTCTCCCAGCGAGGATGCCGGACAGCAATTTTGGAATGATGACTGTGGTTAACACTAGCTCCAGAAAGGACAAGTTCCCCAGAAAGAAATACATGTGGGTGCGAAGTCTCTGGTCACTCAGTATCAACAGAAGAATGACCAAGTTTCCGGTTACTGTAAGCACATAGGTCAACAAGAGGACAATGAAGAGCAGGACCTGCAACCCCCATAGATTGGGGAACCCCAGGAGAATAAATTCTGTCACCCGAGTTTGGTTTCCCATCCCCGCGGCTATTCCAAATGTTGATTCTGCACAAGGAAAAAGAAAAACAATTGAAAGTGGGTCATGACTCTGTGTAGTCAAAGCTGAATAGATGGAAGCGCAGGTATTTTCAACAGTAATTAATGCCTCATTTTTATGTGCCCAAACTGAGATACCTTAAATGAGCTTGATTTTCCGGAAGTACTCTACGCCTGCCCTTTGAAAATGAGGTATCAACTGGTGACTCCCCAAAACAATTCATCCAGAATTTCTATCCCCTTTTGAAAATCTTGGTCTAAACTGGCAATCAGCTTTCAAGAGGTAGTTTTGAGTCACTATTGCCAACAATTGTTTGGGAAGTGATTTCTTCCCATATTTTTTTTATTATGTGAATGAGAATGAAAACATTTTTTGTCAAAATATTTCTTCATTCTTTTTTTTTGGGGGGGGGGCAAATCTGAGAAAATGAAAACCAAAACCTTTTCCCTTTAGAGTTTTTCAGCAAAAAAACAGTAAAAAAGAATAGAAATAGGATATTTCTTGTGAAAAAACAATAATGAAAAGACATTTTTCATCCAACAAAAAAAAGTTTGACTGAGTAATGTTGACCAGCCTAAAGCCTTGTATAGGTAGGTTAGTGAGTCTCTTTCTAACGCTGTGTCTGTCAAAAACAAAGCAAACAAAAATCTCAAGGAGATAAAGCCAAGATTTTTTCAGGTTGCTTGATCCACATCTCTAAATATTATTAGTGATTTTGGGTGCCTCACTTTTTGTATCTAATATAACTGTGGATAGTTTCATTAGCCATATGAACATCTGGCCACTTTCAGAATCCAGCTGACACTTTTCCTGGGACCTGCCCTCATATGTAAACACTGAAATATATCTTCAGGATGAGATAGGCAGGAGAGGTCAAAGGACAGGCAACCAGGAATGGAGTCAATAAACCTCCGTTCTCTTCCTAGCTCTGTCCTGCTGTGTGACCTTGGACCAATTACAGCTCTGCTGTTTCCTTTCACACCTTGTTACTGAGCCAGGAAGCGTTTCACCGTCTATTATATGTTTTTGTACAGCACCCAGCACCCAGCACAATGGGGCCCCAATCTCAGTTGGAAAAAGTCTCTGTGCTACTGAAATACGAACAAGAAATGATTAGACTTATACTTACATCCCCGATTTACGGTGGGTTGCAGTTTCTAAATAAAACATTGCAGGAGCAGATCCTGTTTTCTTGTGACAGTTCTGAAGAGATGTGTGTTCATTCTGATCCAACTTACAAATGAATATTCCTTGGAATTATGTCTAAATCCATGCTGCTGTCTAAGTAGAGCACTCTGCATTTTTATTCTAAGGTGAAGATGTTATCTCTTAGAACTCCACAAGGAGTATGCAACGTGCATCTTTAACTGTAGTAAAAAACTTCATCAGAATAAAACACCAAAATAATGATCTCAGAATTAAGATAGAATCATAGAGCTATATGGTTCTGATTTCTGAATTAAGATGTTGTATCTTAATTGTAGAAATCTGTTCTATTTTAAAAGTAGAAAATCAAAAAATATGTAATAACCCCCCCAAAAAACAAAGGAAAAAAACCAAAACGGAACACCCTGTATCTAGATTTGAAAATAATTAGTTGATAGCAAAACCCTGATAAGAAATCTTCGCCTCATCTGAAAATATTCTGAATTTAATTTCAACTAGGATGGTTCCAACATCACATGAAGAGATGTGCTCATTTTACCTGGTGCAGGGTTATTCTATAACCTCTACGTCTCCTAGCGGGATGATCCTGATTTACCTCCTAGTTGCTCAAGGGAGATGAGTTTCATAACATGTCACAGCTCTGACTTCTGCCCAACTTCTGAATATCCACTCCACCAAAGTTTCTGTTTCTCTGTCAATGGGTGCAGCTGCCCTTGCTGAAATGAAGTTTTCTCTCTTTATTGAGAGAAGTTGCCCCACTCTTTTAGAAACGTGAGTTTAAAGGAAAGTCTGGTAAAATAAAACCTTACATGGGAAAGAGAAGCCAACCTACACAACCCCCTGCACAAAACAATCTTAGCCATATGTGCCTCTTTATACATGGACTGGGAAAGCGGACACCCCATCCATAATGGAGGTTCAAATGGGGTTCAGCAGAGGTATGTGTGTCAGGAACCCAGGACTGGAATAGCTGTGGGTTGGGACTGAGGTACATCAAAAGAGATGAGTCCAAGGTTGGGACAGCAGAGGTGCTATGCGTAATGGCTCAGGGGCATCAGAAAGCTCTATTTGTAGAGGATCCCAGAACTGGAAAAGCAGATCAGGGGAGAAGCTGCAGGTCGGAATTGAGAGGCATTGGCAGAACTGTGTGTAGAGAAATGAGGAATGGAAAAGTGGGGGGTTGCAAGGTAGGACCGAGGGAGAGGGGGACAGAGCTGTGGAGGAAAGCCCAGGGGAGGGGGGGATTGCAGGTTAGGATTTGGGGACATCAGAAGAGCTCTGTGGAGCTGGGAGGGAATCCCAGGGCTAGAGCTGGACACAATTTTCTGATTTTTTTTTTACTGAAAAATACAGAACGGGTCACTGAAGCATTTTGAAAATTTGTGTAAATTTTACATAATTGTTCACTTAGAATTTCTTCAGAACTTCTCACCCTTGGAAATGATCGACACCTCTATCATCACCCCAAAAGCCTCGGTCAGCCTGGCAGTAGAACTAGTTCTGTAAGTGGATGTTTTGCTCAAGTCTCTCTCTATTTTGCCGTGGATATAACTGGATCCCCCTCTTTACAGTGATGTCTTTTGAGAGGTGCGTTGCCATCCGCCATCCACTGCGCTACTTCGCCACCATGAACACTCAGGGATGCACCTTATTGTCCTGGGTTCTTGGGTTGATGGGTTTTTTGTTTATCATTGGCCCATCACCTGCATTATTTCAGTTACCACTTTTGCAGCCAAAACACCATTAACCATTTCTTCTGTGATAGCGCGCCACTTATCAAACTTTCCTGTGCCACCACAACATTGGTAGAATTCACATTTTTCATTCTAGCATTGATTATTCTACTGGGCACCTTAACCATCATCATCATGTCCTATGCAAACATAATATCCACCGTGCTGCATGTCCCATCTAGCACAGTGCGGTGGAAGGCCTTCTCCGCCTGCACCTCTCACCACATCATGGTCTTCATCTCCTACGGTAGCTGCATCTTCATGTATGTCAAGCCCACACACAGCAGCCAGCCAGATCTCAGAGAGGTAGTGGCTGGTCCCAACACTGTGGTGTCCCCTCTGCTCAAGCTCTTCATTTTCAGCATGAGGAACAAGCAGGTTCAGGAAGCTCTGTGGCAGGCTATTGGGCAGATCCAATGGCCCAAATATTTAACGTGAGTTAGGGGGAATAAGCAATGGAGGAAAAGGCATGAGTGTGACAATGTTTACATGTCCCGAATCGGTATCTGTTGTTTTCCAAGTCAAATAAAAACAAATATTCTATTGTCCCTTCATTAGTACCCTGCATCATTCCCAGAACCCTAGAGGACGTGATATTGATACTCCAACCCCTATCTTATACCCAGTTATAGCACTCATGCATGATACGGGAGTCCTCACTTCAAATCCCATGTTTCAAACCCGCTTTCCGGTGAGCGTGCAAACCACCAGGTTATAGGGCATTCTGGATTTGATTTTTCTCAATCTCTCCTGTTGATACTGTTCCACTTTGCATACACACTTAAATGCTCATTAGATCAGGGACAGGAAACTGGGTGTCTTCCCCTCCTCCCTCATAAGAGTGCCCACCTCACCAGTTATTGAGTCATTATCTATCTGGTCCAATGAACATTTAAGTATTTATAAAATGTGGAAAAACTTTAACAGGCAAGACAGAGAAACTCTATCCCTAGAATCCCTGAGAGCCTGGGGGTTAGGGCTCTCAGCTGGCTGAGGGGAGACCAATTAATCCTAAAACACAAAAAAGTAAAAATTTAATATTGTCAAACCAGTTTATAAACCATTTTATAAATCAAACCTTAATACACTGTGGAAAAGCCTGCATTAATTGCATGAGTCAATACTTATAAAATATGCCAAGTCTGACATGTTAGACTTCTCAATTATCAATAAAAATTGAACATCCATTTAAGATGTCTATTAATCCTTTATGTGCTATTTAAAAATGAAACTGTAATATGAAGTGTGATCTCAATATATTACTGAGTTAATGTGCATGTTGTTGGAAGATTCAGTGCCAATATTTGAGCTGGCCTAAATCAGCATACTTCCTTTCAACTCAACTTCCACGGTCAATTTGCTATGGGAAGAGGTAAATTCATCATCACTTGAAATCTTTAAATAAAGATTATTGATGTTCTATTTCAACCACAAGTGACTGGACTCGATAGTGTCTCTTATTGTAGGAAGAAAGAACAATTCCATCATTTGCAGGAATCAATGGATGGAATTTTATGGTCCATGGTCCAAAGGAAGTCCGATGAAGAGCTTATAACGTATGGCCAATGTACATGGCAGAGGGGCATTGCTGGCACATGATGATATTATCTCACCTGCCTTATCACTTAATTACGGTAATTCTTACATCCATACTGGCTTGCTATTCCCAACTTCCTAAGCTTCGTTTGACTCTGACAACCCTAATTTCCCAGATGCTCGAACCCCACATTTTCAAGTGGGGCTTGTGACTTGGGATCTTCGATGCCTGAGCCTGAGATTGGCCCTGATTCCACCCTCTGAAAATCTGGACTCTTTATGGTGTTTCTAGTCCAGCACCAAAAACATCCAGATACCCAAAGTTACTAGTCACTACTGAAAATGAAGACCTGTCTTCCCCTCCCCCTTCTCCATAGCATGTAACCAGCTTGTGGAACTCACTGCCCCAATATATCATTCCCACCAGAACTTAGAAGGAGTAGTCCATATTTGGACAATTATGGCTAAGATTTCCAAAGGAAAATAAAGGAATCTGGCTGTGACGTTGCACCCCATAATGCTTTATGGGAATATGCTTATGAATGTACATATGACATAACTGGAATGTGTTTTATGCTACATATGCCATTTACCATATCTCTGTAAACGTTATGATCGACTGAATCTATTCATCCTATTTGCATTCATGTGTCATTTTTGTACTTAAAGATATAATATAATATAATATAATATAATATAATATAATATAATATAATATAATATAATATAATATAATATATGGAGATATACCTATCTCATAGAACTGGAAGGGACCCCGAAAGGTCATTGAGTCCAGCCACCTGCCTTCACTAGCAGGACCAAGTACTGATTTTGCCCCAGATCCCTAAGTGGGCCCCTCAAGGATTGAACTCACAACCCTGGGTTTAGCAGG